GTTCTAGGGGGCAGTTAGTGGCAGGGGTCCCAGGAGCTGGGCAGTCAGGGGACAAGAAGCAGGACGGCTTAGATAGGGGGTGGGGTTCTAGGGGGCAGTTAGTGGCAGGGGTCCCAGGAGCTGGGCAGTCAGGGGACAAGAAGCAGGACGGCTTAGATAGGGGGTGGGGTTCTAGGGGGCAGTTAGTGGCAGGGGTCCCAGGAGGGGGGCAGTCAGGGGACAAGGAGCGGGGGAGGGAGTTGGGGGTTCTGAGGGGGGCAATCAGGGGGTGGGAGGGAGTGGATGGGGTGGGGGCAGGGGCGGGGCTAGAGCAGGGCTCCTCCCCCCAGTGTCCTCGTTTTTGCTTGTGGAAATATGGTAACCCTATTTAAACCAAATCCACCCTGTGCTCTTGCCCCTGGCCCCTTCATTCCCCAGGGGGCCCACAAATATGCTTAGCCAGGCCCACAAAAAGTGACTCCGGCCCCATGGGGCTGCCCCCGAGCGAGGACACAGGGCCCGGGGGAGGAGGTCTGAGGGTCCGAGGCGAAGCCGGCCCCGCTCGCTCACCCACCTTCCGCTTCCCACCGTGCCAGCGTGGCCGGCTCGCTCCGGCTGACGCTGCCCAGGAACTCGGCCGGGACCGGCTCCATCCTGCGGCCCGAGCGCTCCGGGGGCCCCCGCTCCGCCGCCCGAGCCTCCGCCGCCGCCCGCCGGCAGTGCGCGCCCAGCTCCTCCGCCGGCAGCAGCGCCAGGGCCGCCCGCAGCGAGTCGCGCTCGGCCGGCGCCAGCTCGGCCCAGAAGCGCAGCAGGTGGGACTGGCCGGCCCCCGCCAGCCGCGCTCGGAGCTCCTCCGGCGGCGCCATGCCCGGCTCGGGACGCGCCCCGGGAGCCGGCTCCAGCCCCTGCTGCGCCTCGCTCGCCGCTGGGAGCCTGCCCCGCCTCGCCCCCGGCCGCCGCTTCCTGATCCGGGCGGGCGGGGATAAGCAACGCTGGGGCCGGCTGCAGGGGATGGGGGTAGGCGGGGAAGACGGACTGCCGGGGGCGTGGGGGACCCCGGGGGAAGGAGGGGCAGAGGGGGTGAAAGCTCCCAAGAGGGAGACGTGTCTTTCGCTGGCTGCCTGGTCCAGCTCCGCGCTGCCTCCCCGGCTGTGCTGTTAAAGGCAGGGTGTAGCCCAGTGGGGCTCGACCTTACCAGACAACTGTCCCCCTGCCGGGAGTCTGATTTGTCTTGTGACCCCCCTCCCGTCCCCGAGTTTCACCTCACTTAAAAACTCCGTGCTTACAAAATCGGGCATGAAAATACACAAGTGTCACAGCTCAGGGTTACTGAACAAGTGCTTCCTTCCTCATGTTTACCGGAGATTTCTAAAATAAATCGATTGGAATATAAATATTGTACTTACCTTTCAGTGCATAGCCTATAGCGCCGTATAAACAAGTCAGTGTCTGTATGAAATTTTAGTTAGCACTGACTTGGCTAGTGCTTTTTATGTTGCCTGTTGTAAAACTAGGCAAATCTCTAGATGAGCTGATGTACCCCCTGGAAGACCTCTACGTACCCCCAGGGCTACACGTACCCCCAGGGCTACACGTACCCCCAGGGCTACACGTACCCCTGGTTGAGAACCACTGTAGCCTGTGTGAAATGTATTGTTTGTCTGAAGGGATGAACTGAGCTGCCTTCAGGGCGATGTGCCACCCTAAAAACTTTCCTCATGCTCATACGTTTTTGGTGTTTAAAGGGCTGGCCCATTCAAGTCAATGCGGGTTTTGCCACTGACTGACATGGGAGCAAGATTAAGCCCTATAAGAAATCCTTGTCCGTTTACATCTGTGCGACCTGTCTGCATATAGTCTCTTAGCAGTTCACAAGGTTGTCTTAACTATTGTCCTCGTAGACTGAATGGTATTCCATTTCCTGCATTCTCCTCTAAATACAGTTTCACTCAGAACATTTATTTCTTTGAAAAATGGTATTTTTTGACTCTTTTTGTTCTTAACGCCAGGGCCGGCTCCAGCATTTCTGTCGCCCCAAGCAAAAAAAAAAGCCGCGATTGGCGGCGGCAGTTCAGCGGCAGGTCCTTTGCTCCTAGAGGGAGTGAGGGACCTGCCACCCCCGAATTGCTGCAGATGCCGCCCCTCTCCCTTGGCCGCCCCAAGCACCTGCTTGTTAAGCTGGTGCCTGGAGCCGGCCCTGCTTAACACACCATCAGTTACCTTGTGCGGATGGATGTCATTGTGCTATTTAATATATGGTGTTAATTACAGTTAATTGATTCTAGGAGCTGTGCAATCACATCTCACAGTGTTTTCTGTTCTAACGCTTCCTCTGGTTTTAGTGTGATTTTGCAATCTATCATTTTTCTTTCTACATTTGTTTATTTTTTCTCACCTATAACAGAAGTTTATCCTTAGTCTTCAAGTCATATGCTGATAATGCGATTTCCAAGGTTTTCATCACCACTTTTTCCATTCCTTTAGTTCCACCAATGAGAACTGCCTCTCTCAACCCTTTCCACTCTCTCCAGCAGCATCCTGCTTCTTCACATGCCACCACATCACTGGAGAACTTACACCCCAAATATTCACTAAGGCCATGTCTGCGCCACTGTAAGGTCTCCTGTTTAGCCACTCTATGCTAGCAGGAGAGAGCTCTCCTGACGGCATAATTAAACCACCTCCAGTGAGCGGCGGTAGCTATGTCGGTGGGAGACGCTTTCCTGCCAATATAATGCTGCCCACACCGATGCTTTTGTTGGTGAAACTTATGTCAGTCAGGGGGGTGTTTTTTCACACCCCTGACTGAGAAAATTTTGCCAACAAAAGCCATAGAGAGTACACTTACAGTTTGCGGATGATACCAGGCTGGGAGAGGTTGCAAGTGCTTTGGAGGATCGGATTAAAACTCAAAATAATCTGGACAAACTGGAGAAATGGTCTGAAGTAAATAGGATGAAATTCAAATAGGACAAATGCAAAGGACTCCACTTAGGAAGGAACAATCAGTTGCACACAGAAAATGGGAAATGACTGCCTAGGAAGGATTACTGCGGAAAGGGATCTGGGGGTCATAGTGGACCACAAACTAAATATGAGTCAACAGTTGCAAAAAAAGCAAAGATTCTGGGATGTATTAGCAGGAGTGTTGCAAGCAAGACATGAGAAATGATTCTTCTGCTCTACTCTGCGCTGATTAGGCCTCAACTGGAGTATTGTGTTCAGTTCTGGGTGCCGCATTTCAGGAAAGATGTGGATAAATTGGAGAAAGTCCACGGAAGAGCAATAAAAATTATAAGGTCTAGAAAACATGACCTATGAGGGAAGATTGAAAAAAATTGGGTTTGTGTAGTCTGGAGAAGAGAAGACTGAGAGGGGACATAACAGTTTTCAAGTACATAAAAAGTTGTTACAAGGAGGAGGGAGAAAAATTGTTTTCCTTAATCTCTGAGGCTAGGCCAAGAAGCAATGGGCTTAAATTGCAGCAAGGGTGGTTTAGGTTGGACATTAGGAAAAAGTCAGGGTAGCCAAGCACTGGAATAAATTGCTGAGACAGGTTGTGGAACCTCCAATATTGGAGATTTTTAAGAGCAGGTTAGACAAACACCTGTCAGGGATGGTCTAGATAATACTTAGACCGGCCATGAGTGCAGGGGACTGGACTGGGTGACCTCTCAAGGTCCCTTCCAGGCCTACAATTCTATGTCAAACTCTACAAAGTAAATATCCTTAAATCAAACTCTAATAAGTTCTCAAGCAGCGCTTTTCTCACTTTGCCTATCTGTAAATTCCAATTATTGATGGAAATGTTTTTTCATAGGTTTGTGGGTATATGGTGCAATTGACATTTGCCAACATTTCCCAATAAAAATCTAATCCTTCCAAGCCTAGTTATATGTATTTGGCTACCTCGACACACATGACATTGTTCTCAGTGGGAATACCTGCACTGCATAAAGTTAAGCCCTTGTTTAATTTAGCAAATTCTTATAAATTGCAGTTATTGACACTACACACCAAATGTTACAAGACACTAGGTGTTGCAACCTGAAGCAATGCAATTTGCACCTTGCCCAGTCCTGTTTGCAATGCTGGCCTTGGAGTTACGCCCCCCTCCCCCAATGCTGTGATTCAATCACACTCAGGCAGGGGTAGTAGCAATGGAGCAACTAGAAACTAAATGTAAAGAAACAAACAACAGATCCTAGGGGTGTGGGTGGCTGGGACTCTTTCCAATCCTGCTACGGGGAAGCTCCAGACACAAGTTCCTATCCTGAAAGAGGGGATGTGGGCAGGTGCCCTCAGTCTCACCCTCTCTGCAGCATCCTGTTTTCAGGAGGAATGAGGGTGGACAGTTGCCATCATGTGCTCTCTGTGGCTAGGGTTGCATTCCTTCTTTTGTGGGATAGAGTCAGAAAGGGCTCTGTTGCAAAAAAGATAAGATCTTGCTATGTCAAAATGTTCCATAAACCGTAAACAGAGATCTGCAGCCACCTCTGGCATGGAACATGGCCACGCAGAGCAATGTTAGACAGTGGTGAAGAAGAGAAGAAATAAATACCGTACCCACCTGAAGCAGAAGGGTTTTGAATTATGCTGGAGAACTGCAAGGGCACCTACCTGGACATCAGTTACAAATCAATTTCCCACTTTGTGCTGCATGAAAGACCTTTGTTTGTTTGCCTGTCCTTTCCAAATCAAACACAGGGACTGCCCTCTCCATTGAATAGGATAACCTGCCATTGTATCCAGATGCACAACCCTCTGCAGCTCAGTGCTCTGAATCCAGCCCGTGGCTCAGATTAAGAGAAAAATCAGCCCTCCGAGGTGCAAAGGGGTCAGCATCATCCCACAAAAAATAGACCAAACCAAAAATCCTACCACCGCCCCCCTGCCGCTTGGAACCAAAGCCAGATCTCAGCCTCACAGTTCAACAGGCAGGGCCGGTGCAAGGATATTTTGCGCCCTAGGCAAAACTTCCACCTTGCTCCCCCCTTTCCCCTCCTCCCCCCCGGAGCATCACTTATCATAAACTTCCAAAAATGAATGCTGCATAATGTGGCATTGTTCATTAGAATTAATACAAGGGGGTCAGAGAAGATGATCACCATGGTCCCTTCTGGCCCAGGGGAACCTATGAGCAAGGAGGAGGCTGAGAATGCCCCCAGCTCGCAGGGTCTCTAAACGTTCCCAGGCTCTGGGTACTTCGCCCTCCGGGGGGGGGGCCCAGGGGCAAGGAGGGCAGACCCGGGCTCTCCCAGGGAGCAGGTGAGGATCTCCCTGGGGATCAGGGCTGGCTCCCTGCGTTGGCACAGTGCCATGGTGGGGGGTCGGTGTTTGGAAGCGGAACCTGCACCAGCCCTTTCCCCTCCATCGTCCTATGGGGTTTACTTTCACTTTCCCTCACCCCAGGAGGCAGCTGCGCCCGGCCCCAGGCGCGGCGCATTGGAGGGCGAAGCTCACCTGAGCTCAGGACCGCATCCTCCCTCCCCCAACAGCTCCGACCCTCGGCCGCGCTGGTCACCGCGCCCGGCCGGCTGTCTCCCCCTTGCTCCGCCGCAGGCTCCCACCAGGGCCAGCTCCAGGCACCAGCTTCTCAAGCAGGTGCTTGGGGCGGCCGCTCCAGAGAGGGGCGGCATGTCCAGGTATTCGGCGGCAATTCAGCGGACGGTCCCTCACTCCGCCTGGGAGCGAAGGACCTCCCGTCAAATTGCCGCCGCAGATCGCGATCGCGGCTTTTTTGTTTTGTTTTGGCTGCTTGGGACGGCCAAAACCCTGGAGCCGGCCCTGGCTCCCACTGACCGTCCGGCGCGGTGCCCCTCACTGCGGGGGTGGATTTGTTCTGGAGGCCTCGCTCCCCGCCCTTCCCCGCTCAGCTGACTCCTGTGACATCGGACACCACTTTTTGGTGCCCCCAAATCTTGGCGCCCTAGGCGGCCGCCTAGTTCACCTAGTGGTTACACCGGCCTTGTCAAAAGTTATGACCTATATATATATATCTCTCTCACTCACACTCTCACACTCTCACTCACACACACACAGCTCAGGGAACTTCTGGAATGAATGGTGT